TTTCTAATGTTTCAAAGCGCTCATATCACCGTTTTTTCGGTAATGAGCTAGATATTTTAATAAAACATTTAAATCCAAAGTCGGAAAGTAATAGCTTTAAAGCGTGAGGTTAGTTTTTTTCATATTCTTAGGAAAATGTTAACGAGCATAGTGTGAGAAAGCTACGCCCTGTCATTTCGATCACGGGGAGGAGCGTCCAGTCACGAAAGTGCCGTGTCGGGCATTTCTTTACTATGAGGTTCTTTGATTAAGGTCTGCTAATTCAGGAAGAATCAGTTATGCACCTTCCTTATGTTAAGGATCTTTACTCACAAACTAACTTTGTATGTTACAGAAGTTCAAGAAGAATAAAAACGAAAAGGAAAATGTAGCTCCCGCAGTTGGTAAATGTGTTGATTTTTTTCGTCTTTCACTGTCATATTTGCTAATAATATCGAATACTTACAATAGTTATTTTTTGCTTTCTTTCGTTTCGATTTGTTGCCCCCCAACTATGCAGACTCTTATGATGAACGTCTTCGTAATGTTATAGAAAGTTTGTAACATTGTCAGTTGTATTACTTATTCTTTGAAAAATTCATTCACCGTTTATTCTTGTCTCTAGATGACCTACGAAATACTTTTCCTCATATCAAGTTAGATCGGGATATCGTTATTCAAGAACTGGCTAAGGTGCTAGTTATAATTTGGAAACATCCACAGGACGTTGCGTTCCAAACTCCAGATAACCTGTATGTTGAACTGAATCAAAGCCCCTCAATTTTTAAAACACCTCACCTATACCATATGGTGTTACTGGAGAGAATTTCAAGAAAATCGATCTTTGCCTTCCTTCTTATGAAGCGAATTCTAAAATTAACTATGAGAATCCCTTATACCACAATTTGCAATTTCGAGAAACTGTTGATTTGGTTCAAGATAAGATTGATAGTTACATACAAGACATTGTTGTTCTTTCCGGAGTCTCGGGAGGGGGGAAAACATCAACAACATTCGCTATTGCTGCTGAACGTTGGGGAATACATATGGACTGTTTTCCTCAAGCTGCATTCTATGGAAACCATTTGTATAGAGAGCTTTGGAAATTAGAGCGGATAAGCCATCTATTGATAATATTCCACTCCAGAACAAAGCGTTTTACAAGCTAGACATAGCGCTCCTATCACGTGGATTGCTACTAATCAAAATGCTTGTACAAAAAAAAATCCAAACACCAAAGGATTGGTTATTGGCACAACTTCAATCAAGGCTTCAAAAATTTAAACCCTATCTCCCGTGATCTGTCAAAACTAAATCTGGAACTAATTGACTTTCATATACTTCTGCAATACATCAATGAATGTCTTCAGATTGAACGGCTTTTCCTTTTCCAAGATGAAGCGCAAGTTCTTTGTCGACCTGAATATGGAGGATATTTTGGAAGTACCACTAGAGGAATTTCATGGAATCTTTTGCAGGCTTATACTACTCACATACTTACTGGTTTTCCAGTTACACACATTATTTCTGGCACTAATATGCATATGTCAAGCGGAGTTTCGCTAGTCACCAGTGTTGGAAAATATGGTACGTCTCAAACGGTGCATATTGTGTTAAAACTTCCTTATCTCACACCTAATGTCTTGCGAAATCTCAACAATATAATCAATATGGATGGAGCTAGCCCTTCGACTTTTGTTATTTAGGAAGTATGCTCAAAGGACGACCCCGAAACTGTGCGGCATTTATAAAATTGCTTACCAACCGACCCAAGCAAGGTATATCAAAAGATAAAGAAATATTAGAAACTATTGAGTTATGGTACGAGGAAATATGCAATACGATGGTAACATATTTACGTACTGCTGCCGAGACTTTGGGTCCACAAATCAATCCAGAAAAAGCGATTGTCGATATTCGAGTTTTTTATACAACAAATTACCAGCATGCTATTAGACTTCTCCAATATGGAATTCTTCCTACCAAGTCGCCGGATAGCATTGCCCTTACCCCTCAAGATGATCCTTATGAAACTACAGTCCAAATCAATCTGGAATTTGAGTCTTACTTTAGAGGTTGGAACCGGCCCAAAAATCCTTAACCGGTTAATAATCGGTTAAAAAATTCTTTAACCGGTTAATTAACCGGTTAAATTTAACTCAGGCCGGCACTATAAATTTGGGCAAAACTAGCAAATTTTGTAATTGCAAAAATATTTTAATTCTGCCCGAAAATTAAATTTCGGCCAGAGTTAACATTAGTTATTTTAATCGGATTAAAAACATTATCTTAAAAAAAGGGGTAAAAAAAATCTTTAACCGGTTAACAAGATAAACGTCTTAACCGGTTCCAACCTCTATCTTACGTTGTTAATTCTATTGCAAAGAGGCAAAACTTTGATAGATGTTTATGTTGAGAACATTTTGTGTCATCATCAGTGTCCTCAATCAATCGGTAGCGTGCTCGATGCTGCTTTTGCAATGGCCATAATTGAGAAATGTGATCATAACGTGCTTGAAGAACTTGCAAAGTGGACCAACAATTTATATTTTGTCTTTCCAGAATGGATTACGCCTGAGATGTGGTTCGTTACGAACACAATCAGTTTAATAGTATCTTTTGGTAGTGGAGGATTCTATCTTATTGTATATTGCTATTCAACCGGGTCACGTTGTAGGATCAGATCTTGTGTTATCACTTACAGATGAATCTAGAAATGTGGTATTATTATCCTTAAATTCCACTATCTCTACCAAAGAAGAAGCAAGCCCTCAATGCATGCCTGGAGTTTCAGTACATGGAAGAAAAAAAGAGAAAAAAGAGGCCCAATGATGACACAGAATGTGGAGTCCATAGTAAGAAACCGAGGCTGTCATTAAGGGAATTTACTGAAGACCAAGACAAAGAAGAGAGATACATCGAAATTAGCATTGCTGAACCGTTGCAGGTAGAGAGTCATATCGAAACTCCACCTGCAACCAATATTGACGATGAAAGCGATCATCTTGATCAGGACAAAAACTTTGATTTGGATTATGACAAAATCCTCGAGTCTTACCATATATCCAAAACTGCTAAGTATGCGGAACTTCACAAAAAAATCGCGGAACTTATGATAGTCGATGAAATTAACAGCAGTGTGGTTGTTAAAAGGAAATGCATTCGCGTTTTAGTTGAGTTTCCACGCAGATCTATGCCAAAATCAACATCACGGCCAGATATCTTTCGATATGACAAAAACGGTAATCTCATAGTCATTGTTGATGATCGCAATGTAGAACAAGTTTTTGGAAAAAGGATGGCGAATTTGGTGCAAAGTCTTGAGTAAGTCTTTTATATTTGTATGATTGAGTGTTCAAAGACAACTTATTCTTACGTCACCATTTTTGTTTTAGAAAAAAATAGTCCGATTTTTATCTTATTATCATACCATTATAAACAAAAGTATCATACATAATTTTTTATACTGCAAGCCAGCAAAATAATTTCGCTCATTTTTATGTGCGGAAATTAAAATAAAAAATGCCGAATTTCATTAGCATCAACGAACTTCAATTACGTGATGATGGCGATTTCTTATCAATGATTAAAAAAAGTGTCTTTTAAATGCATCACTAAATAAAAATAATAATAAATTAAGAAATCATTAATAAAAATATTAAATTTGTATAATAAAACATTTTAATAATGTGATGAGTATAATAATTATAATAGTTAAGATTTAAAAATCAGTGAAATTATTATTTGGCGTTATAATGCTATACCGCTAGTATCATATGTCACGTGATTTGTATATTTATTAAAATTTTTATCAAAAATAATTTATTATTAACATTATTTAATAAAAAATATAATCCGTTATCATATTTAATTTAATAATAAAATTTGAGCCAATCAACCTCATTGATAATTAGGAAATGATCGACATACAAATTGACCAATCATACAAATGTCTGCCATGCTGATCGCGCGCGTTTAAAAATTTTCGCGTCAAAATGAGAATCTCTTATCATATCATAATCAATTCAAAAAAAAAAACTCAAAAGAAATTTAATACGTAATGCAAAAATCAAATTCTACGGTTGAATATTTAGACAATACTTCGCCAAATGTTTGGACACTTGATGGCCTAGCGGAATGGTATATTAATACATTTTTTTGTGATAAAAAGAAGGTCATTGAGTATATAAAAACAGCACTGGAAAATGTCAGGGACAATCAACAAGTCTCAGATGAAGCACGCAAGAAGGCAGATGAATTGTACAATGATTTGAAGGAAAGTATTAATATAAATTAAATAAATGTGAATTGATCGCAGCACATTACAGGACTTTGGGTCGTCTGGGTGTTGAACTTCGGGTTCGCTGCGATGCTAAATTCTAAAACAAATTACTTCATCGCAGCACATTACAGGACTTTGGGTCGTCTGGGTGTTGAACTTCGGGTTCGCTGCGATGCTAAATTCTAAAACAAATTACTTCATCACAGGACTTTGGGTCGTCTGGGTGTTAAACATCATGTTCACTGTGATGCTGTATTTTCTAATAGTCCCATCTTCGTAACTTTTAGGCTTGGAAAGAACACAAGAATAATATTAACTATTTCGAACAGGCGATCAAGCTGGCACAGATCAAAAGTAAAGAAACAATTATTCTGGAAGAAGTAAGGAGCTCTGATAATATCCAACGTGCTAAGATGAATGTAATTTTCTGTTTTTGATTTTATGCGATGTATCTTCTGTTTTTTCTTGTAGATTATTACATGTTAATTTTCTTTTCTGATACAGTCAGAGCAGTTTCGAAATCATAGTACTGTAGCAGTGGAAATCCAAAAATGTATTGCTGATGATTTCATCCCTAAATTTGATCAGAAGATGTGTGTACAACAGAAATGACAGCGAGAGATAATAGCGGAGAAAATGCAGGCATCAGAGATGTTAATTATTCGAGATGATAAAATGGTTTCTAAGGAAGATGAAATGGATGCAGTTATAGAGTCTAATGAAGATATCGACAATCAGGAGTTTTTTGAGGACGACAATTATGAAGATCTTGATGAAATGAGTGATGATATTCATCCTAAAATCGACAAGGTAGCCTTTTGCAAGGCACATAATGCAATTCCAGATTTTTCATTTTTGATTAATTATCACATAAATCACGAGGTGATAATCTGATTAATCACGAGTAAAATAATATTGATTCGACGTTAGTTGCCTTTTATCAACCACTCCACTATAAGCATGTCTAAATTTAACGACATAATGATTATTTTTTTCTTGATCTAGGTGATAGCCCTGAAAAGCATTTCTCGATCGATATCGACCCGTCTTGCAAAACCTTTGTTGAGGGAAAGGGATTCAGTTTTGACAAACTTAACTTTGGACATTTCCAGAAATTAGTACACTCAGAGTTCAAGTACACCTCCAGAGCCAGCGACCTGGAGCTATGGAAGGTTTTTATCCCTACTGAAGGAAACGACGAAAAGCTAAAAATACTACAGGATTACGTAGAAAATAATTCTCACGTAGAATTTGAGATTGAAAAACAACTTGGAGGTGTGAAGTTGTCACCATCTAAAAAAATCAGAGAAATTTTTGATAAAGGTCCTGAAGACGATCACATTCATATAATAATAAAGAGACATGGTAAAGTATTATTATTGGTTTGTTAAAACACGCTTTATTCGAAAAATTATCGCAGGTATGTTTTATATATACTTT